TTTAGGATTATTTTGAAAAGTTAGTTAAAAATTGACTTTTGAATTTTTTTTGAGTTTTTTTAAAAAATGTATAAAAAAGTAAATAAATGATACGACTAAAAATAGGTTAAAAGCCAAAATTTGACTTTTAACCATCTTTTCAAGAGAATCCTTAGTGACGGAGCCACAATTTGGTTTGGGGTACATTATATAAGTACACTTTTTATTTTTTTATTTTTTTAGGTCACATTATTTCTTTATTTTTCTACATATCTTTTTGTAAAAAGTTAAAAAGTACATTTATTTAAATCATTTTAAACAATAATATAACATTAAATCGAAACTTTATTTCATAATATTTTGCAATCCAATCCAATTGAATTGAATTTTTATTTGTTGGTAGGAAATGCCAGCATAATTCCAAAGTTCTACATTAGTGTAATGCTTGAGTTGATTTTTATTTTTTGTTCAATTTTTTAACATAATAATTACCGTAATCTAAAATGTGATTACATATCTCCATATAAAATGAGACTGAAATTACGTTAAAATGAGTGCATGCATGCACACACACAAAACGAGAGTAAAATTACACATTTCAATGTGACAAGTTATAAATATTTTGTTAAAAACAAAATAATAATAATAATAATAATAAAAAGAAGAGGAACAAAATTTGAGGAACATACTTAAAATTTTAAAGTACTTTAAATTAAGGCAAAAAGTATTATTTTTATTTAAACATTGAGACACGTGTCTCTCGTGATTCTTACATGAGTTCAGATTTTCGACCGCTCTTTCCAGTAGCACTCTCAGCAGCACTACAAAACGACGTCGTTTTGTAGTGAAAAAACGACGTCGTTTTGTTTAGTTGGTTTTTTTTTTTTTTTTTTTTTTTTTGGTTTCGAAAAATTCGAATTTCCCGCCTGATCATTTTGACTTCATCTTCGTCCCTCTCTCCTTTGTTTTGCCCTAACAAACCACGCAGCTGGATAGAGAGAGAGAGAGAGAGAAGAGAGGCGCTGGAGAACGGAGAGAACGATGGTGGACGGAGGCGACGGTAATGGAGAGAGGTTGGCGGAGGGACGCGAGTCCGGCTGTGACGCGACGATGGCGGAGGGATGCGAGTCCGGCTGTGACGCGACGATGGCAGAGGGACGCGAGTCCGGCTGTGACGAGGTATATTTCAATCTCTGTGTTATGTATATATGTATATTTCAGTCTCTATATTTACATTTTGTTTGGATAATCAATGTATACATTACAAATATGTTAGTCTCTATATTTCAATGATATTTCAGTCTTTATACTTCAATCTCTGTATTTGTATATATTTTGTTTGGCTGTGACGAGGTATACATGAGTTCAGATCTTGGGTCTATTTCTCTATTTCAGTCTATTTCTCTATTTCAGTCTGTATGTATTTGCAGACATTACAAATATACCAGTGCTATATACAATTTAATTTTTCAGACTAATTTTTCAGACATTACAAATATTAATTTTTCAGACTAATTTCTCTATTTCAGTCGTATCAAATCTAATTTTTCAGAGATTACAAAGAGATTGAAAGAGATTGGAATAAGTATATATTATACCAGTGTATATATACAAATATACCAGTGTATAAAAGATACAAAATAAGTATAAAAGATATCACTAGTATATTTGTATCTTTTATTGAAATAAGTATATGTTATGAATGATATCTTTTATACTTACTTTGATTTGCAGACATTACAAATATACAAATATACCAGTGTATATATTAATTTTTCACATTACCAGTGCTTTGATTTGCAAACATTACAAATATACAAATATACCAATGTATATATTAATTTTTCTCTATACATTTCTCTATATTAATTTGTATATATAATTAAGGATTTATATATAATTAAGGATTTTGTGAATTCAGAAATTAGTAATTATAAAGAAGAGTGATTAGTAACTATGATTGATTTTTCAATGTCATTTATAACTATGATAGTTATATATAAAAGATATCATTTATAACTATGATCTGGTCCATCATTTCAAAGAGATTTACAAAATTATAAAATAAAACTACCTTAATAAACCACTCCCCGTAACCTATAAATCGAATTGCAGGTAATCGAAGAAAATAATGTTGTTAATGAGTTGGCTAATTGTAGTTGGAAGCCAAAATTGGGCATGCCATTTGACTTTGAACAAGCTGCATATGATTTTTATAATACCTATGACGGAAATGTGGGTTTTAGTATTAAGAAGCTATATGCACACAAGAACAAACATACTAAGGAAATAACTTCACGGACTTTTGTATGTTACAAAGAGGGAACTCGGGGTATTGACAAGCGAGATCCACTAGTAAAATTTCCGAGACAAGAGGTGAGGTGTGGTTGTCGTGCTCGATTTAGTATCAAGTTAGATAGAAATTTAGGAAAATATGTTGCCATTGATTTTGTTGAACATCATAATCATGATCTTGTGCCTCAAGAGTGCATTCATATGTTGCCATCCCAAAGAAAAATATCTACCACCCAAGCAATTGAAGTAGAATTGGCTGCAGAATCTGAAATTCCTCTTAGGTCTGCTTATGAGCTATTTGGTAGGGAATCTGGTGGAAGAGCATCACTTGGCTTTACCAAATTGGACCAAAAAAATTACTTGAGATCGAAGAGACAAAAAGATTTGGAATATGGAGAAGCGGGTAGTGTGTTGCAATACTTTCGTAAGAAAAGTTTAGAAAATCCATCCTTTTATTATGCAGTCCAATTAGATTGTGAAGAGCAAATAAGTAACATATTTTGGGCGGATGCACAAATGATAATGGACTATGCTCAATTTGGTGATGTAGTGACCTTTGACACTACTTACAAATTAAATAATGAACATAGACCTTTTGGAACCTTTGTTGGATTTAATCATCATCGAGAAACTGTTGTATTCGGTGCAGCGTTGATGTATGATGAGACTGCCGAATCATTCACATGGTTGTTTCAGATTTTTTTGGAGGCAATGTCAAACAAAGCTCCAAAAACTATTTTCACCGATCAAGATGCTGCGATGGCTAAGGCCATTCCAATTGTCATGCCTAGTACAAACCATCGACTTTGTACATGGCATTTGATGCAAAATGCTGTGAAGCATGTGAGTTCCCTCTTTCAAGATGTTGGGGTAAAGGGTGTCTTTTCAAAATTTATGCATCAAATTGATGATGAAGAAGAATTCAAAATACAATGGGACCAAATGCTTCATAGGTATGATGCACACAACAATCATTGGTTGGCGTAAACTTTTGGTGTGAAGGAGAAATGGGGATGGCCATATATTATGAATTCTTGGGCAGCTGGAATGAGTACTACTCAACTAAGTGAATCATTCAATGCATTTTTGAAGGATTATCTCAATTGTGATCATAACTTGATGGAATTTTTCAAGCATTTTGAGAGGGTGCTCTATGACAAAAGGTATAAAGAATTGGAAGCCGAGTATAATTTGTGTCAAAAATTGCCAAGGGTTGCCATTCCAACTGTGATGTTAAAGCAAATGGCAGATATTTACACCAAACAACTTTTGAGGAATTCCAAAATGAGTATGTGCAGTCCATTGAAGCGTCCATTGTAGGCACTATTCATGATGGTGAGAGTACCATATTCACAATTCAAACGGATGTAGATGGAAAAAAAGATAAGAATGTGACAATGGATAGATATGGTTTTTTGAGTTGTAGTTGCAAGAAGTTTGAAGTGAAGGGCATAGTGTGTCAACATTGTTTAAAGGTGCTTAGAGAGATAATCAATGCAAAGGACCTTCCTGCACAATACATACTCAAACGATGGACTAAAAAAGCAAGGGCTGAAACTGTGAAAGATAGGCGTGGGTATGATGTGAAGGCTGATGTCAAACTACATCAAAGCGACCGATATAGGTCATTGATGAATATGTTTAGAGCTATAGCAAGTAGAGCCGCCGAAAGTGAAGAAACTTATCATTTGTCACTTGCAAACGGTGAAGAACTGAGTGTCATGGTTGAAGACAAATTAAGTGTGCACACTTTTGGTCAAGTGGAGATCACTGAATTCAGAAATTCCTCAGCTAACACATGCCCACAGAGTGATGAAGTAGATTGTCCAATCCAAGCCAAGGGACTGAAGAAAAGACAAGCAACTACTAAGGGAAGAAGGAGGATCAAGGGCGGGATGGAAAAATATATTGCGAAGAAGAAAAGAATGCAATCTAAGCAGGTAATTAATTGAAGTTATGTCTGATTGTTATGTGTTATCAATTTTGTGTTATGTGTGTTACGAAAATAATTTATTACATAATTTGGTTGTTTGCAGGGTGATAGTTTTTGTACTCTTGAAGGTTAATATGAGCCTCTTGTTGCCATGGGTAATATTTCTAGTCAGGTAATTTTTACTATTATGTGCAACCTTGTATTAATTTGATGGATTGATTATTCTTGCAACTAGTAGCGTTATATTGATTATTTTTGGTCTTTTGTGATGCACGTAGGATGGTTCTTTTTCTACTTATCAAGGTCAATCTCAACCTTCTTCCGACAGGGGTAATCATTCGATACAGGTAATATTTAATTTAGGGTGTTTACCTTTGACATGCATAGACGTTAGGGAAATTGAACCTCATACGGAATTATGAACTTTGTCTTATTCTTTGCTTTATGTTGGTTTACGTTAGGGTGTTTACATTCCACAAGGTCAATCTCGACCTCCTGTTGCCATGGGTAATATTTCTAGTCAGGTAATTTTTACTATTGTGTGCAACCTTGTATTAATTTGATGGATTGATTATTCTTGCAACTAGTAGCGTTATATTGATTATTTTTGGTCTTTTGTGATGCATGTAGGATGGTTCTTTTTCTACTTATCAAGGTCAATCTCAACCTTCTTCCGACATGGGAATCATTCGATACAGGTAATATTTAATTTAGGGTGTTTACCTTTGACATGCATAGACGTTAGGGAAATTGCACCTCATACGGAATTATGAACTTTGTCTTATTCTTTGCTTTATGTTGGTTTACTTTAGGGTGTTTACACTCCACAAGGTCAATCTCGACCTCCTTTTGCCATGGGTAGTAATTATGTTGAGGTAATATAACATATTGTTTGTTTTTTAACATCAAAATGCATTATGAATTTTTTTTAAAATGCATTGTCTTATTCTTTGCTTTATGTTGGTTTACTTTAGGGTGTTTACACTCCACAAGGTCAATCTCGACCTCCTTTTGCCATGGGTCGTAGTAATTACGTTCAGGTAATATTTCATATTGTATGTTTTTAAAAATGAAAATACATTATTATTTTTTTTAATGGACATTCTTCTTTTATTTGTGTTGGTTTACTTTAGGGTCATGGTCGCGAATCCCAATCTCAACTTTCTTTTGCCATGTGTCATACTAATTATGCCGAGGTAATACTTCATATTGTATGTTTTGTAAAATGAAAATACATTATTACTATTTTTCATTTCATACTTTATTTTTTTACGTTGGTTTACTTTAGGGTGATGGTCGTGCAACCTATATTTCTCAACCTCAATCCCAATCTCGACCTGAATCCCAATCTCAACCTTCATTTGCCATGGGTCGTACAAGTGTACATCATGTCATGTATCCTACATATGATGTGAGTTGTAATTGGTTACATACTTTACATTGAAAATGTAGTATAGATTCTAAAAAAAGTTTAATACATGTATCACTATTGCAGGGAAATAACACGCCTCAGTCAATGCCGCCTGATTCAATGCCTTTACTGTATCCCACTCCGGCATCGTTTCAGAAATTGCTTCGAGATAGTACTGCAGTCCAACTGTCACAAGCCTCACATAGTCTTGCTGACAGTCGTGTGGATGGGCATCCCTGGAAGGCTTGCATTGAACGATGATGTTATTATATTTGTGGATTTGGGTGTATTTTTTTTTATGTTCGGTGGGATTTGGATATTTTTGATGGACAATTTTTTTTATGTATTTGTAATGTTTTGTGGGATTTGTATAATTTTTATGGATATATTTTTTATGTATTTGTAATGTTTGGTGGGATTTGAATTTTTTTATGGACATTTTTTATTACACCCAAGAAGGGGTGAGAGTTTAGTATTAATGTATTCATGTTTGGTGGGGATTTGAATGTTTGCGTACATTTTTTATTACACCCAAAATAAGAATGGAGATATATAATGCTTTAGTTTGGATGACATCATTAAAAACTAAAATCAATGTTTCTATGTCAATTTGAATTTTAAAATTTCATGTTTTAATTACACCCTGTAATGTAATGGACAGGTTGAACTTATTTCCAGTTATTTACTGTTTTGATTACACCCTGTAATGTAATGGACATGTTTGATTTTATTTCCTGTTTTGATTACACCCTGTAATGGACAACATACACTTATTCCCTGTTTTCATTACATCCTGTAACGGACAGGTTGAACATAATCATAACCATACAAAGTGCACAACATAACCATACAAACTGATTACACAGAATACACAGCTCGGCTGGACAAAATGAACAAAATAACCAAGTGCCATTACATAACCATATAACCATACAAAATTAACAAGTCCAGTTAACCATACAAAGATATAGTTTACCTAACCACATAACCATACAACCTGCCACTAGCTGCCATGGGTCGCAAAGATTACAAAAATATTACATTTTTATAACTAACACGATCCCAATTACAAGCAAGATACACAATCCATAAATACGACTCGAATTTTGATTTATGTCTGTTTCCAACTTAAGCATCTTCGCCCTCATAAATTGCAGTTCTTCGCTTTGAAATCGAAGTTGTTCATTCATAAGTCAAAGTTGTTGTTCGGTGACAGTTGACATATTTTCCATTTGCACTACTCCTTCACGTCTACCTTGTGAATTTGTAGGCAAGCACCATCCCATAAAATCGCCGCAATTTTTACAACAATAAAATAATTTGTTTCTGTTTTGTTCCGTCTCCGAAATTTGAATAGTTGCTTTCTTATGACATTTAGGGCAATTTCTGTTGTTGAACGTCAACTGATCTGAGGTACCTCCGTTAACAGTTGAACTTGACATCTGCAAAATTATGCACACAATTCATAGTAAAGTTATATACACACTCAACTTCAATCATATCATTCCTACATACACCTACTTTTCACTCTTTTGGTTTTTGCTTCTTTTTTTTTAAAAAAAAAAAAAAAAACTCTTACGTTGCCCTAAACAGGAAGGTTATTAAAAAAACTTTTAGGTTGCCCTAAACATGAAGCTCTGACACTCCCCTCAAGTTAGGGTAAATTTGCTATATTTACATTTGCATATGTATGCATGCATCCAAGCATAAATTATATCTATCAGATTTAATTAATTGCACATTTCATTTAATCAATAAGTGCACTTGACAAATGGATCTATACTTGCATTAATAACTTCAAGATAACTTCAAGATCCAAACATATTGTTGAAGTTATGTATGCCAAACATATTTATAAATTAAAAAAAGAAAGAAGTTATGTATGTCAAACATATTGTTGAATGATATCTCAGTTTGTAATCTAAATCCTTAAACTGGCATTCTTCTACACACATATATAAACACAAACCTTGGTATTTAAATTTTGATACTTTCATATTCCAACATTTTCAACATACCTCTCTGTCTTTCTCAAGAATAGAAAATCATGGCTGCTCTGCTTAATAAACCTATGCTTTTGTTTCTTTCGTTCGCGGCTAGTTTATGGTTGTGTTGTCATTTCTCTGAGGCTGCACTCCCGCGTTTCCATCACCCCTTGAAAACCGATGGCTCCCTTAGCTTTTTGGTGGTCGGAGATTGGGGACGTAAAGGCCTTTTCAACCAATCTAAAGTTGCTTCTCAAGTCTTTCATTTTTCTTCCCTTAATTATTAATCATCAATTTTATTTTATTTTTTTCAAAATAAAAATATTGGATTTTTGAAATGTGCTATATATGTTTACTTCAGAATTTTCAGGAGTTATTTAATTTAATACCTTTGATAAACACTTGAATGGTATAAATGGACTGATTGTTTTGTTTGGTGATCATACATAATATTGCCAAAGATGGCATATTTGAATTGAATCTTCCATTTTGCAAAAAAATAAAATTAGTATCAATCTACTAGGGGCCATGTCTACTAGTATAGCCCAAAATTTGCTCGACTCACATGAAGGGAATGCTTTAAATGAGTGAGGATTAGTTGGGATTATACCTAATTAAATATCCAATTATCAAAATAAATAAATAAATATATATATTTTTGGCCCCATATCAAGTGTAAGTTCTTCACGTCGATAAAGTTTTTTTTTTTTATTTCATGATAGTTTGACTAATCTTTTGTTGTTGTTGTGTGAATAAAAAAAATAAAAATAAAATTAGTGTTATTATAGTCTAAAAATTAGATTCATTATAAACTTAATGATGTAACAATCTATTAGAATATTTAAAGCAACTCTTTCTCCCATATCTTGTCTAATTATTAATCAATAATCTCATTTAAATATCATTTGATTTAAAAAGTGAACTTGTATATTATTTTTTTAAAAAAGTAATCAATAAAAAATACATAGTTCTATGTGGCAAAATGATAGCCATATTGGGAATGGACATATAAGAGTGAGCCGTATTCGGTGACTTCTTTAATGACGATAGACTTCCATATATGAGACCATCTTGAATGGTAGTTCGGAAAATGGCTCCTATGTAATTATAATGTGATTCACTTCAATGTACTTGTTTACTATTGTATGTTACAAATCGCATCATTTTCTTCAATTTGTGATATCCTACCAATTTGAATGCAACAATGCTTTGGTTTTTTCCACTATTGTAGGATAGGACTACCAGGTTTGGGTTAGGTGACTTTGAGAATAACATAAATTTATTAAAAATTTTAAAACTACTTGAATTTGAGAATTTAGAACAATGTGGTGCATTTGTAATGTCTACAGGTTATAGGAGCATACTTTGACAAACTTGGGTCAAATTCATTTGCAGTTTACTCAATTACAGTGACAGATGCAGATGAAAAATGATTATCATACTACTTTATTTTCTAGTTATCTATTCTGTAATAGAAAGAAATCTATGTTCAACTGAAATATGTTCTGAGAAATAAGAATTTGTTCACCCTGTTCAAATAAAAATATTTGTAATCCTGTTCTTAAATATGTTAAGAAATATGAGCATGGAATTCTGTTTCTCAAACTCTGTTCATCAACCATTGTCCGAATGGAATCTATGGAACATTGTCCTATTTCTCAAACTCTGTTCATCAACCATTGTCCTATTTCTCAAACTCTGTTTTATTTGAACATATTTAAGAATGGAATCTATGGAGTCTATGTTCATCAACCATTGTTCGAATCTATGTTCATCAACCAAAAAGAGTATGGGCAAAAAAAAGAATGGCAAATCTATGGAAAATTGAAAGGGAAAAATCGAAAAGAATGGAAAGGGAGAGAAACGAACCTCGTTCTTCCAGATCGTCCAGATCTTCTCCTCTCCTTCGTGTCGTCCTGTATCGTCGCTCTTCTCCTCTCCTTCGTGTCCTCTGTCTAGGGTTCAAAAATGGAAAGGGGAAAGGTGAATAAGAAGAAAAGAAAGGAAAAAATATATATATACAAAACGGCATCACTCTTCCAGATCGTCCAACTCTTCTCCTCTCCTTCGTGTCCTCTGTCTAGGGTTCAAAAATGGAAAGGGGAAAGGTGAATAACCAAGTTATAATAACTAAAAAAATCAAATTATCCCAAACAAAAACTTAATTAATGAAACTTTTCAATAAAATTTTTATATTAATCAGTAGTTTAAATATTTTTAATTTGTTATGAGTCTTATTTAGGTCCCATTTGACGGAAGCTCATTTGGAAAATGAATATATATCAATCAGTCATATTAATTAGATTTATTTATTTATAGATTTTAATTAATAAATTTATTACTATAAAAATAAGAGACTGATAAATTTATCACTATAAATTTATTCATAAAAATAAAGAGATTGATAAATTTATCACTATAAATTTATTTATAAAAATAAGAGACTGATAAATTTATCACTTGATAAATTTATCAATAAGACTTAATAGATAATAAGTCTCAAAAGTAGGACCTATTAATAATTTTTCCTAATTAATATGTTTATTTATCAAATTATTCACGTGAGATGTTTAATACATCAATTGTAGAAACATTAGAAATAGATATCAACAAAAGCAAAGGGACCAAAAAAACATATTAGAAATAGAGCTAAAAGGTTCATTACTGCATGGTCTAGTTAGGTTGGGAAATTAACAAAGCTGATAGAGACGAGTAAGGAGCCTCTCCTTACAAGCCCTTTTTTTGCGCTCCGTCCTTGTAGGTCTTCAGACTTACTTTTAAGCTTAATTTTGATAATTCGAACCGTTCATATTTTAAGATTCATTCAGTACATTATACCTGTAAAAAATTAAGTTGATCGGATATCAGAAAGTATATGTTAGAAAAATTGAACAAAAAACTATTTTTTAAAAAAATTTAATAAACAATTTTTCGAACATATACTTTCTAATATCCGATCAACTTGATTTTTTACAGGTATGATATACTGAATAAATCATAAAATATGAACGGTTCGAATTATCAAAATTAAGCCTAAAAGTAGGCCCGAAGGCCTGCAAGGACGGAGCGCAAGGAGGGAGTGCAAGGAGAGAATCCCAATTCGATAGAGACCCCTCATCGGGCGACCCCACTGGCACCCCATTGGTCAGGATTTTTTTCTTTTTTTTTTTTTTTCTAATCACCAACCCCTCGTGGTGGTGGGGTGGGAGGAGAGAAAGGGGTCTGAGGCATTTTCTAGAAATTAATAAGCCACATTAACAAAACAAACAATATCATGAGCTTTAAAATAATAGTACTAAACATGGGTTGAAAAATTTAAGGGAGTAGGAGGAACAACATTGCAAAATTTAAATGTTGGGGATTGTTGTCATACTCAAACACAAAGGATAGCTTCATACCCAAACATCACTTTGAAGTTTGAATGCAATACTAAGGGGTTGTTTGAGGTGTCCTAAATAAGTGTACTTTTTATCTTTTTGGATTAAAAAATTTAG